AGGAGCGTTGTTGAGTCTCTATCAGGAAATATTCCAAGGCAGTATGCGCCTCTAACTTTAGTGTGCTATAAGCATGTCAGAATACAAATGGAAACTGTTAATACTTGCTGGAAAGATCAAACAGTATTTAAAGAAAAAGATGTAGCCAAATTTACTGTACAAGTTATTACCCTGAATAAGTAGTTCTCAGGAGAAAGAATCAGTTTCTGACCATTTCCGAATTCCATAGCGATCTCAGGAAAAAAATTGTGTATCTCAGCCACATCCCTGAATGGTATCCAAAAATAGTATCCTTACACAACATATAAATTTGAAGTTCCATGATATTGTTTTTTAAAACAAACCTTCCAGCGCCAGAGAAACAAACATCATCATAATTTGGGTCTGGACCATGGATCCGTTTGAGGGATGGAATTTCTCTAATGACCTGCCATACCACATAATCACATGCGATTACAATATGGAAGAAACATCAACATTTATGTCCTACAATTTCTATTATAAGCTCAAAAAGCATAATCTTTTGTCGAAGGTCATCAATTAGGCATGACAGGGATATTTTACGTAGCTCTAGCAACTCATTAACAGAATATAAGTTCTTAATGTCTGATAGATTGCAATTGTGATGCATGTTCTTGTATACTTTGATACTATAACATAAACAGGAAGCTTCATAACATACTAAATTAGTGGAGAATAGAGACTCGTGAAGAGGAAAGAGCTGAGAGATGAGCTAACATTAATACGACTCAAGATATCTTACCGCAGCCTTAATGGCTATAAAGGCTTCCTTGGGAAAATAAGCATATGTTGTTCCACTATCCAAAACGGTTCCATGCTTTTCATTAAAGACCTTTGGGTTTAGCTTTAGAGACTTGCCAGCAACATGCATTTGTTTCAGGTCAATGTTGTAATACGGACTGCAAACACCCGAAACTACAGTGATGTTGTAAGAAGCTCGAAATCTACTCTCAAATCATTAAGATACCAACTAACTGCAAAATTATGAAGTTACTCTACCTGCGGAAAGGATCTGAATGAGCAAACACCATTCCAGCTGGAGGAGATATTTTACCAAGAACCATAGCACCACCCCCAACTTCCATTCCTCCATAACACAACGAAAAAGTATCCTCGATAACACCCTTATCAACAAGCTGATCTACAACACTAAGCTTACCACGACCCAACCCCATAATACCATCAGCACGTTGGCTGAATAGATCGCCAGTTTCCGCGTTCTCACATCCAAAAACAGCACGTTGTGGAGTAAGTTGACTCTCATTACCAAAAGATATCAAATCCTCACTTAAAATCCCACTACTCGAACTCATCTCAGCATACCGTCTTTCGTAAACACATAATTTCCCCTCATCATCACAATTACAGTCAGGATTACATTTCAAAGCCTGGTAACTACTAGATAAATCAGGTTGAAACTTTGGATCCTGAAACAGTAATAGCAAAATTCAATCATGCTACAGAACCAACAACAGTTTCCAAAGCCTAATCACACAAACAATACTCACCTGATGCTTCCCACACTGTTTACAAGTAGAGCAAGGAACGTAAGTAACAGTACTACCAGTATCTACAATCAAAGCAAACTCTTGTGGTGGTGTTCCAATCCATAATCGTGTAGTGTAGTAGCTGCGTAAAGATGATTCAAAAACTTAGAATTATAAGCTAAATCAGAATAGGACTAATTTGGTAATCAAATCGAAAAAAGACGAACCCGTTAGCGAGGAGGTCATCGTAGAGTTTCATGTGAGCGTTAGGGAGCTGAGATTGATGGAGACGACGGCGGCGGAAATCGTCGACTCTCGTCGGTAAAGAAGAGTAGCTAAGCGGGAAAATCATCGGCGATCCGACTGCTAAATCGAGCTCATCGGCGGTGGTCAGATCGAGGAAGAATATAGAGACGGTGATGAAGAGAAGGAGGAGAAAGAGCGAAGAAGCTCGATCCATGGATGGTGGATTGATGAGATCAGTGGAATAGAATTTAATTGGAGAACGCCGGTGGCGACGGAGAGGGGTTTAACCGGAGTCAACTCCACCGTGGCTCCGTCGTAGATCCTTTGTCGTCGAGATGAAACTGAGAAAGAGAGAGAGAGAATGAAATGGCCTCTCTTTTTATTATTTTCCATTTTTGTGCCTCTAACGACTAATAACGTACTGCCACGTGGCGGTTTAGTAAGTCTGTTAAAGTCAACGACTCACACAACTCTTACCTGCTTAAAGAGCGCGTTCAACTTTAACCAAAATAAACCAAACCGAACCGAAATTGATTTCGGTAAAATATTTGCAAATCGAAATAACCGAATTACCGAAACACTCAATCAGTTCGGTAACCCAAAGTCCCATTGGCTTAGATTACCAATGACTACAACAAATTTTTACTATACAATGAAAATACAAAAAAAAAAGCAGAAACAAAAACAAAACTTTTAGCAAATAGTCTGTATCACTTATTTCGAGCTTCCTAACAATCTAAATTACACTCAGTTGTCCATTGTTGCATTTTTTTTTTTCACTGAAATGATAATATTGATAACGGAAGTTTCGGAAAGGTTACAAATCACAAAAAAAAAAGACAAGAGTGAAATTACATAGACACAATGATCTTTCCATAACCTACAACAAGAAAAGGAAATGATTTTTCGAATACATTGCTTAAAACAAAAACATCTTGTCTCGAAACTATCAAAGCTCTCGAAATACCATTAGGACTTCCCGCATAACAAATTTGAGAACGGGCTTCAACACAAATGGCCAAAACAAGAGAATGGAACTTGGCTTTCTCCGCAGAAGATGCATCTTTCTCTATGAGTGCTTTGTCAAGGGTCTCCCGGATGAACCGTAAGATAAACAAGACCCACTTAGACCTTTCAATGCCACAATCAACCAAACAAGGCTAATTCTACAGAAATACAACTCCATAACATAAGCTAAAGCTCAACCCTTAACTAAACGACTTAACTAGTCGAGGTGAGAAACTTTGCCCAAACGAGGGAAGCAAACGACCCAAAATCACTACAAACAAACCTAAAGAAAACTAGCCACAACTACTCGAAGAAAGCTTACCCAACCATTAGACACACAAAACCCAGGCGACTAGATCTGAGAAGGAACCATTCATCGAGACCACAACACTCGCTGGATCTGACGAGAGCGAGCCTTCAATCTTATGACACCGGTGGGGAAGGGAGATTAACGTTCGCAGGAGATGAGAACACCGATCAAGCCTCACAGTGAAGAACGGTCTACAAGGCCGAGCGAGCTAAACTCAAGATCTACCAACCAGGACAAGCTGAGACGAAAACCAAAGACAACTAACAAAAGAAAACCAAGCAGCAAGGACCCTCTCACGGTTACGGCGAGGAGCGCCGCACACCGGAAAGGGCAACCAAAGAAATCGACTTCTGGGCGCTAGGGTGACTTTAGAGAGAGACGGCACTAGGGCGAACGATAGTTTTGATCACATGTTTCCCGCTATTACACACAATTTCCATTGTTGCATGTTCATTTGAGTTTTTTATTTTGGACATTAGACACTCGATCACCAACGTTCACATAGACATTATGATCAAATACACTATTACCAGTACACATTACACGGACATGTGTGTCACTTTTCTAAGATTTTGCATTCTCATCGTCTCTTTCACTTTTTGTATTCATGACCTCATGTCCATTACGCGTGAAACATCTGATGACGAATATATGAACAGGTCCATGCGGTATACAAAAATGCATAAAAAAACAAAACACGGAGAAAATCCTCAAAACAGCAGAATCTCGTAAATCGAAATGAATAATACTTACAACAAAGTTAATAATAACACATTTTTTTCTTGAATACGAGATTTACAGAACTAGTGACATGAATCTATGAATATGGCAATTATAAAGAAACGAGTTAAAAATCAATAAACTCAATCTCTCGGCGTCCACTGTATGTTTTAGTTAGATGATGGCAAATTAGATAATATAAGATATTTGAAGGCCAAAATGGAACAATATTTTATCTCATATCACTGTTGTTTGAGGAATTGACTCTATATGATAATGATCAGGGGCGGACCCACATAGAAGAAAGTGGGGGCAGTTGCACCCACCAACCTATTAAAAATTAAAAAATTTACATTAAAATTAAAGTTATAAGTGTCAAAATGGTTAAACTGCCTACATGTAGTGTTTGAGGTTGTGGGTTCAAGTCTTATGTGCTACATTTTTGTACCCATTTAATACTTTTTTTGGGTCCGCCCCTTTAATGATAATACTTTTCAGAAAGTGACTATAGATAGATGGTATTATTTCGTTTATCAAAGGATGCCTCAATCAAATCAAAGAACTTATATGCAACTTTTGTACGTCATTGTTGTCATGAATCAAACTTGAGGTGTTTTGATATGGGAGAGAACCCACACATGGCTCCAACACAAACCTTCAATACAATAAGGTAATAGACCCGCTCCACAATAATGTGATCGGTTCTGATTTGTGACTTCTAAGTATTATAAATTTTGTTTTTATGTGGTTTTGGCAAACCAATCCAAATTGGTATCCAATTCATGGTTAAACCGATTGAGACGACTAATCCTATATCTTATGGGTTTTGACAAACCAAACCAATTTGGTATCCAATTCATGGTTTAATCAGTTCATCAGACCAGTCCAGTTTTTTTGCTTTAAAACACCATTAAAGAAATGTAACGGTTACACCATAAAAGCTCAATAATCACTTTTTATAACTTTTGTAAGCACTAAATAATATATATATAAAGCAAAACTTTCCCATTGTATTTTAGGAAAACCCCAAAATATTTTATGATGTCAATATAACGCCCACGGTAGATAGATATACTTCAATTTGAACCAAATTATTATATATTCCGAAAAAATATGCTCAATCATTAGCATATAGAATCAAGAACATATAATAGTCAAAAAGCTTGACCAAAGTAAAGCAAGAACAATAGTAAAAAAAAAAAGAAGAATAAAGACAAACAAACATCATGACTCTAAATTTAGAATAGTTCAAGACTTTTACATAGAGTAAAGCTAAGAACACAACACACACACACAAAACACACATGAGTCTCACAAAGACAAAACATGATGTGTTCTTGGTGATGTTGTCTCTAACAATAAACCTATGATATAACAAAAAAAAGTCTCTAAAAGAAAAAGAAAAAGAAAAAAACCCACAAGACTCATCCTAGAAACATAACACAACGGCTAAATCAAATACTAGTCCACCAGCAGCAGCAACAAACACAAATCTGAATCAATCAAATCAGATCAAACTAAAAACAAACACCAAAAGCTCAAACTAAAACAACACCCAAACACATTGTTTCTCTTTTTCTACCATTGCTCTCTCTGATCTCTCTACTCTCTAGAGATGGAGCTTCTCCAGAATCTTGTTCCCAAACTTGTTACACCTCATCAACCTAATGTTACGCTCTATATGCCACATCAATACTTGACGCACATCAACCTACAAAAACACATCAAACAAAGACCATCTCATCATCATCTTGCCAAAACCTTCTAAAGCATACCACATGATCCAAACGTAAGCACAAGCAAAACCCTTTACCTCAGAGACAAACCATGCGGTTTGAATGACATAGTTCCCATACGGGTCAAGAAGAAGTGAATCCATCTCTGCTAACAAGTCATTTATGATCAACCTAGTTTCGACACACCTTAGCCTCAGCAACTTCTGCACAGCATGACTCCCATACTTGTTGCGTGAGAGGTGTGCGTAGCTCCCTACCAACTGTAGCACGAGCGCTCGTGTCACATGAAGATTGTCCAGCTCCAAGATAAACTGCACCACGTAGTTTCTGAAAGGAGAACACACTTGTCAAGTAAAAAAACACTAAAGAGGATTGGATTGTGTATAGATATATATATATCATTCAATCTCATTGTTTACCCGTAGCAGTTCAAGCAGAGTTTCACCGAATGAGTGATTATCTCGCAAATCATTCGTTGTTGTACCTCATAATTGACTTTCCTACTTTGATCATAAACACATAGCTGAAGCATATAGCAGCCATGTTGATCAATCCCTATCTGGTAACAATGTCTAGCCACAACTTCAACAAGAAGCTGTCAAGAATAAAAGACAAAACACAAGTGTATAAGAAAAAAGAGTGTCATTTCTTGTACCACAAGAAACAAAGTTAGTAAGGTTAGATCTACTACAACTACAAACATACCATATACAACATATTCTAGGATACGTATAAAAATCTTGAACTTAAGAACACATCACACTGCAAACTTGTAATGACAACAAGCATACTGACTTATCTACTTGAGCTAAGACTCCATAAGCAAAAACTAGTAAACAACTCCATGACTAGAAACAAAGATTCAACCCCATGACTATACTTTGTACTAACCAACTTAGCTTTTGAGGTAGCAATTCACATAACAAAGAAACAACCATAATAAGATCAAGAACTGAAGCTGAGAGAATGAGATGCTTACCCTACACTGATTGTAAGTAAAGAGGCTAAAGCAAGCCAGAATAATATCTTTAGCATGGCTGGTCTTTGCCAATCGAAGAGCTACAGAGCTTATAGTTGCCACCATACGAGAGACTTGTTCATCTCCACCACGACGGTGAATGTTCAACAACAGCAACTCTATCGCCGCGCTTCTGATATCACCAAAACAAAACAAAAGAGACATTACTAGTTACAAAAACAACAACAACAAGATTCAACCTAATCAACAAGAATCAGAAGTGATACGTACCCAAGTGAATCAAAGCATATGTTAACAAACTGAGACTGCTCCTGAGTAACCATATCAACAATCATAGCGATCTGCTCAAAGCTACATTTCCCCAAAAGCTTCTTAACAACATCACTAGCAAAAGGATCCACCATCAAGTCACAAATCTGACCAATGAGAGCATTGAATATCACATCAATCGTCTCTTTAGTACTCTGAGAGATCATCTTAAGCACATGTTCTGACATTACTTGATCTTTAGCCATTGATAGTATCGTTATCTCTCTCCCATTCATCATAGCCATCGCTTGATCATGATTGTATCCACCATAACCCATCAAAGGACTGTTCATTCCATCCCAAGGGTAACGGTTTCTTGAAGCAAAAGATGAAGAAGATCCATACATGGTACCATCATACCCATACCTATACGCACCATCTCTCTGTTGCATCTGGTTAAACCCTTCTAACTCACGTTGGTGATATGAAGCACTCTGAGGAAACATGTAGCCACCACCACCATGACCACCACTGCCACCAAGACCACCAAGACCAGCACTGCCACCAAGACCAGGACCGCCACCAAGACCGCCACTAGAGCCACCGTTGATCACCGGATTGAACCGATCAGGATGATGACCGTTCTGACGAAGAGTTGAATCAGAGAAAGAGAGGCCACAAAAAGAGGATTCTAGGGTTTTCAGATCGTTCAAGAAACCATTAGCTCTTTGGTGAGAACTCTCCGGTTGTTGAAGCTGCTGCATCTGCGGTGGCTGTGGCTGAGACGACGCACCTCGACGAAACGTTACCGTTTCAGGAGTCTCCTCCGCCGTTGACCAGATGTCACGCTCGCCGTGAAACTTCTTGTCCATGACTCTCTCCAAAGGGAAGCTGAAGAAATCTAAAGAAAATAAAAAAAGATACGAGAAAATATATATATTAGGGAAAACACAAAGAAAGATTACTTTTTGATTTTATCTGCAAAATTATTTAATAAGAAAAAAAGAAAAATAAAAAGGAAGGTGAGATACTTTAGAAGATTTTAGGGATTAATGGAGAAAAGCGTGATTAAGGAAAATTGAATTGCAGAGGAAAAAGAAAAAAAAAAAAAAACCTTACACAAAGAAAAGAGACTGAATAAAATTTTCTTCCCCATGCACACACATTAAATAGTAGAAAAAAAATATATTTTTATGTGACTTGATATAGTCAAAGTCTCAATGTACTTTAGAGTTCATGGAAATTTAACAAAATACAACTTTATTTTTTGTTTTTCTGATAATTAGGATATGATATCTATCATTATCTTTTTAATAAGATTTAACTCAATCTAAACCTTAGAATCATTATCATCATAATAAAATAAATAATATAAAATCTAACATATTATCACAAAAGAAATAAAATAAAATATTATTTGAACATTAACCGTAATTTATAAACCAAACCGGAATAGATGACAGAACGGTTTAAATGTAAATCAGATATCAGTCCTCGGATTCATCGTCAAAATCTCTAGAAGATTAGATACTTAAAACAACAGTAAAAAATGACAATTTCAGAAAAGTGGATCAAACCAGCAACCTTCAAGAAACTCGAGGTTTGTTTGTTACGGATTTTCCAGATTATTTTTTGTTGATGCGATCCGTGACTGCTTGAACAGTGATATGAGCTTCGAATAGAGATGCAAATAAGATTTAAATAATCAAATATTAAAGGAGTAAAATGATGAAAATATAGGAAAACTACGGAAAAGAAAGCAAAGAGGAAGAAGACAGGTGACGGCGTTTGTAAGAAAAAAGAAGAGAGGATTTTTAGCATAAAAAATTTAGGGTTTTTAATAAATATCTTAATTTTTTTTTTTTCTAATTCTAATTATTTATTCTAAACTTTTCCTTATCAATTTTAATTATTACTATGTTTTTCTTAAATTTTTTTTTTTTATTGTTTTGATAATTACATAACATATAAGATAGACCTACATTTTTTCATCACAATAAAATAAATATAAAATCTAGTATATTAACAAAAAAATGAGAAAAAAAGAAAATATAAATATTACTTGAAAGTTAACAATAATTTAAAACCAAACCAGAATAGATGACTGAATCAGTTCAATTGCAAATCGAATATCAGTCGTTGAATTCATCGTCGAAATCTGTAGAAGAAAAGATATTCAAAACACCAGTAAAAGAAGAGAACTTTGAAAAATTAGATCGAACTAGGAATCCTCCAAAACTTGATGTTTATTTGTAAAAATTTACACCATTATCTTTCTAGAAATTGTGTTTTTGCTAATTGGTTCCATGAATGCTTTTTTTTTTTGAATTTGGAATAGAGATGAGGAAAAGAATGAAGTAATTAAAGATTAAAGAAGAAGAAATAAAAAATGTCAAATAAAAGAAAACCAAGAAAAACGAAAGAAAAGACAAACTAGAGAGGTGACGGCGCTTGAAAGAGAGTAAAAAAAAGAGGATTAATAGTTCACGAATTTAGGGTTTTCTCTAATATATCTAATTCTTTTTTATTTAACTTTTTAATTCCACTTGAATATTTAAAAATTTGCTTAAAATTGTAAAAACAAAAATAACTATAATAAATGACATAATCAGTTTAATTGTAAATGAGGCATGACTCTTTGAGCTTATGGTCAAAATATATAACAGATAAAATACCTTAAAATAGTAAAAAATAAAGAATTTTCGAAAAATATATCAAACGAGCACCCTCTACACTCCTTATTTATTTGTTAAAATTTTACGCCATTATCTTTTTTGAAAATTTTACTTTTTCCTGATTCTTCATGAATGCTTAAAAATATTTTGTACTTGGAATAACCATAATATGATCAAATATTAAAGAAAAATAAATAAAATGATGAGATATAAAGAAAAACCACAAAAAATGAAACAAAATGTTAAATAAGAGATGTGGTGGTGTTTGTAGGGAGGGAAAATAGCGAAAATTGACCCAGACTATTTGGTGGCGGTATTTTTATATCCAAACTACGATATCCGACAAATAACAACCTAAACTCACAAAAAAAAAAAATCCCCAACCTAAACAATATGAAAACAACCAAAATCAACATATACTGAAACATTTTTATTTAGCCACTTAACGGCGATGAGTCAGTCGACACTGTGGCAATGACAGGAGATCGAAGTTGAGTAATACGATATCGTTTCGTGAGTTTAGGGTTTTCAAATTGAAGACTCGATGAGTGTTTGCTTTAGCAATTCTTTGATTCGGGAACCTAGACTCTCGAAACGATGTCATATTACTCAACTCTGATGTTCCGTCATTGCCACGGTGTCGTCTGATTCATTATCGTTAAATGGTTAACTAACACCGTTTTGGTAGATGTGCTTTTGGCTGATTTCATATAGTTTATGTTGAAATATTTTTTGTGAGTTAAGATTGCTATTTACCGGGTATCGTAGTTTGGGTATAAAAATACCGCCAGCAAATAGTCTGGGTCAATTTTCGCTATTTGTAGAGAGAGAAAAGAGTTTTTAGTTTTATGAATTTACTTTTAAAAACAGTAAAAAGAGAATTTCGGCAAAATGGATCGAACTAGCAACCCTCCAAAAATCAGAGTTTGTTTGTTAGATTTACACTATTATGTTTTCTGTTTTTTTCTTTTTTTTTCTGATACGTTCCATGAATGCTTAAACAACGATTTGAGCTTGAAATAGATATACGGAAAAAAAATAAAATGAAATATCAAAAAAGAAGAAATAAAATGATGAGATTTAAAGGAAACAAAAAAAAACGAAACAAAAGAGGAAGAAGATGGTGACGGCGTTGGTGAGAGAAAAATAGAGGATTTTTGGCATCACAAATTTAGGGTTTTGCCTTAAATATATCACAAAATTTTAAATGTTTTTTTCTCGACAAATCAAATATATTACATCATAAAGAGTTATACATAAAACATGAATAATTCATACACAACCGTTAGCACAAATAAAGGAAATTAAACTTAACTTCGATAAAGGAGTGGAATTGACCATGTTTGCCAATCGAAAGACCTGTACAGCCTAACAGATAGAATATGTTATGCGTCTCCTTTAGATACTCATAATTGGCTATCATCATCATATAGATGAAACTTCAAAACGCTTTTTGCATTACTCTAGTTAATAAGAAAAGAAAATGTTGCTTCAAATTATCCAAACTCTATCGATTAGTGATCATGATTTCCCTTCTCACAAAAGTAAAATTTTCCAACAAAAAGAAAGAGATAACATCACTATAACAATCGAATACACCGGGAAAGACATCATGATTCAATCGAATCAACATTTTAAGGTAGGAGCAACAATGGATATGTGATGAATCTATTGATCATTGAAATCCCAGCGAATTTGATAAATAATCCAAATTGGGATGGCTCCAATGGCGTGACCGAAGTCTTATTAGGATTTGACTAGCTCAGTCCTTGAAACATCATCATCGTAACGAGGCAAGTAACGTGGGTGTGATAATCTCGATTCGACATTATTAGGGGAATTTTAAACAATTAAATAAAGCAAAAGACAATGGTTTGTTTGGGACAAGATCATATAACATGTTTTTTCGGATCTGAAGAGATGTATGGGATTTGACCCAAAACCTCTTTGATTATTCAAATAGAAAATAAAACGACAATGACCAATGCGGCTGAAAATAGTGGATAAAGAGAGTTTTGTTGTAATACAGTGGATGGGGAAATCGCCAATGGCGAGAGAGGAAACAGGTAAAAAAAAAAGTTTAATTACAATTAACCATTTGAAAAAAAATTCTTAAAAATCATAATTATTCATATATTTTTTTCAATATTTATTACTTATAAAATAAATATAAAAAAGTATTTTTAAACCAAACCAGAATAAATATATGAATTGGTTTAATTGTAAATGAGATTATCAATCTTTAAGTTCATCGTCACAAATTTTAAAAGATAAATACTTAAAACATAAAGGAAAAATAGAGAACATCAGAAAAAATGATCAACCTAGCACTGTCCAAACTTATGTGTTTATTTGTCAAAAATTTTACACCCTATCTATTCTAGAATTTTTTTTTTTTTTCTGATTTGTCGCATAAATGCATAAATTTTTGTTGTACTTGAAATAACCAAGGAAATTGGGTTATTGTGTTGGTTGCAGTGTTGTACACATAACCATCTTTGTATTGGAATAGGATCTTTTGATTTTAGTAACAACTTGTTACAACAAATCATCATATTAGCTGAAATCTCATTTGCAACAATAAATTACTCCAATATTTTCATTAGTCTTATAAAGAGTATATGCTTAAATTATAACCCAAACAAAAATTTCATTAACTATGTAACCAAAATCTTTAAAGAGAAGTTAAAGATCCTTAATCACAACTAGAAGAAGTCCTAAGACATGTACAACCCAAAACACTAAGAATAAAAAAAGACCAACAAAACCACTTGCTGGTTTTATACAATCTTTGGCCATGACCATACTGTCTAATCTAGATGTTGACATCTTCAAAAAACGTAAGAGGCAGCTCTGGCGATACAGGCATTGTCGCCACACACTTGAACTGTGTTAACCAAATAGACAAAGAGAGAAACATGTAAATCAAACAGAACATTGGTGTTTCATATTCAACTCAAATCATCATCAGATTCCAAAGTAGTAGTTAGTTTACCTTATGCTGCTTGTATTTATCTCTTATAGCTTGTAAAGCTCCACCTTTTCTACTCAGATACAAGTCATGTATCATGCCCACGCATTCTTTCAGATCACCCGCTTTGTATTTTGTGTATTCTTCTAGCATTACACTCTGCTAAATTCAACACCATCGCTTTAGTTTCTTATATAATCTAGTGTAAATAGTAAAGAGAATTAGAAAGAGATCTGCTTTGCAAGAAATGCTTTACCCAGGGATGTTGCTTTGGACGGATGATGAACCGAGCGAGAAAAACCGATGAAGCAGCAACGATTGACGGAAGAAACTTCAGAGAGTTATAGTCTAACATGCTTAACTCTGAAAGATAGCTACAAAGAAACTCCATCTGCAAAGGTGACATCTACACAACAACAAAAATGAGAGAAAAGCTTAGCAGTTGATACTCTATACACTGCAAATGACACAATTTGAAAAGAGCTTACTTCGAAATCTTCTTGTGAAACCCTTGTGAACCGTCTGCAAAAAACAAACATAACCAAAAACAAAAACCAATGAGACAATGAACACAATTCAAACCTCACAAAATGTGCTCCTTGTCTATACATTAAACCAATGAGAAAATAAACAATACAACAACAACGTAAAGACCAACAAAAGAATCAGAATCTAACCTCAGAAATGTGTTGCTTGTTGGGTTGCCTAATTCAAACTCCAAGGCAAGAAGTATATCAGCTTCCATCTTCACAATCTCTTGTTTCGTGTAAGTATGGTCCGTGATGAAACAAAAGTCTTCCACATTTGGAGGAGTAATCTCTTCATACTTTCTACAAAAAGTCAAAACCCAAAATACACTAAGCAACCCACAAAACCCACAAAAGAGATTCAAACAAACAAGAATAGAGTAATCAAGAAAAGCTTACGCAGCAATAAGCATTGAAGTAACTCCCAAAAGCTGAAGCCTTTTTCTATTAACATTCTTGAGAGACAAGAATCTATCAATGTACGAGACAGCGAGGTAAAGAGTGTCTGAGAGAAGTTTGTATTCTTCAGCAACTTCAACCAACCAATCAACCAAAACACCTCTCATGTTCGAAGTTACATCTTTCTGAATCCTCTCAATATAATCAATCAAAGGCCTTGACTTTACTTTCCCCTGAATCATAAATCAAACAAAACTACTCAATCTTTCATCTCTAGAACTGCGAAATCCATAAAAACTAAGAGATGGGTTTGTTTCTTTACCTCTAAGTCACGAAGATACTCAAAGATCGATGTAACATAAGGAGCACACATCTGAGGATCATCAGATCTCATATCAATATCTGAGTTCACCGTTACGACTGTCGTCGGGATCAAAACTGGTTTCTTCTGTTTCTTTGTAATAACCTTAGTAGCTACTTTGCGAGGCTTCTTAATGTTCGACAAGTTCGTAAGCTCTCCGAGTACGACTCTCTTCTTGCTGATTCGCTCTTCGTCTATAGTCGCCGCCATGGCAGCTTTACGTTTCGTTGCTGCTCTTGTCATCCTAACGCAATTCTCTTTTTCGTCGGACATGATTTGATGAAGAAGAGATCAATGAGATCGAGACTTGGAAGATGAGAGTGAAGAAGAGAGATGAGTTGAGAAAAAGAGAAGAAGCAAAGAGACATTTTTGGGAATAAAGATTGGATTTTTTATTTATTTTGGCGCTCTCTTTGATTATTTTCGAAATTTTCAGCTGAATCGTGTTTTGGCGGTTTTGTTAATGTTTTTGTTTTCAGCTTCAAAAATTTCACCGGGAAAAAATGCTAATTTGGTCCGTCGTCACACGAAGACCTAAATCGTAAAACGAGGAAGATGATGATGATGTCGTCACTGTACTAATGGACCTGTGTAAAATCAAAATTTTGATGGGCTTTATGAATTAAAACATTAATGGGCTGACCAAAATGGGCCAGTATTTGTTAAAACGAAGATCTAATCGTAATCGACGAAGATGATGATATCGTTACTGTAATGGGCTTTAGAAACTCGGCCCATTATTGCAAAACGACGTCGGATCAATTCCCTCTTAGCAGTTATCATCACTCCACAACAACAACAAATTTCAAAATCCCTAAAAAGTTTTTGAAACAAACAAAAATGGCCGAGACCGACACCGAGACCATCACCACCACCGCCACCGCATCTCCGCCGCAGATCTCAGAATCCGAAACCTCAACCACATTACCAACAATGGAGACGAAACAATCAGACAACGAGGCGAATCCGAATCCTAATCCGAATCCGAATCCGAATCCCAATCCGGGAACCATTTCGCTCCGAATCTGGCCGCCGACTGAAAAAACACGCGACGCCGTCGTCAAACGCCTAACCGAAAACCTATCAAAGGAATCAATCCTATCCAAGAGATTCGGAACACTCGAATCAGAAGAAGCTTCATCCGTCGCGAAATCGATCGAGGAAGAGGCTTACGCCGTCGCTTCCACCGCCGTGGTAGGTGATGACGATGGGATCGAGATCCTTAGAGTCTATTCAAAAGAGATTAGTCAACGTATGCTTGAATCGATGAAAGCTAAGACCACCCCTGCACCAAAGGATGATGATGGTGATAAAGAAGAAACTGGGTTAGCTGGGGAATTGGATTCAGTGAAGCTTGAGGAAGATGCTTGAGTTTGATCTCTTTAACTATCTTTTTATTATTGTCTCAGAGTTCTTGTAGTGATGATGATGATGATGATGATGATGATGATGATGATGATGATGATGACTTGTTGGTATTCGTAATTTGGATGATTTTGCTTTCTTGATTAATTTGATGGTTTTGGTTTCTTGATTATGGTTAATTAACTCGTTTAATTGCATGTGAATCTATAACCATTAGAGACAATAATTAGAGATTTTGCTATTTGCTATATCAAAGTTTTTGTTTCTTGATTACGGGTTAGCAGTTAAGGCTGACAAATTCATCTACGGATTAGACCGTTTTTTTATTTACCATTCATTAAATATAGTCTGTAATGACCAATTCCGGACCACTTTTACATACGAATAAAATTGGTTTGCAGCGGTTTGTTGTCTATCCTAATAAAGTAGACTAAACCGCCGATGGATTTGTCCATCTCAACCGTTGTGATTATTAAAACTTTAAGAACATGATTAATGATTGTCTCTTTTAGGCTAAAGATAAAGCTTTTATATAAGTCCTTTATTATATGTTTTGTTTTGATCACATGAATATAAAGCATTAGACCATCTCCAATGGTTTTTGCTATTTTTTCCTCTATTATAGAGGAACTTTATAATAGAGGTGACTTTTGCTCCAATGGTTTCTTCTATTTTTTCCTCTATAATAGAATATTCCAAATAGATTCTTTTAAAATCTTAATATTAACACCATCTATTTATAAAAGTTGCAAATTAACCCATTTACTTTAACTGTTATAAAATTTTAATAAAATAATTATTTTTATTTAAATTAAACATTTATTATAAAAACATTATATTATATATTATTTTTAATGAAAAGTACATCACACTATATAAAAAAGTAATAAGATACTAGATTCTTAACCATCAGCATAAGTGTACTTTTCCCACAAATGATCAACTAATGTATTTCGAAGTGAGAAATGAGCTTTTTATCTTTTATTTTTCTGAATCGACCTAGAAACTCTTGGAAACGAATATCATCATCTTCTGCTATTTGGACCGCTGGAGGTGGAATTTCTCTTTCAACTTCAATCGGTGCATCGAGATCACGCTCATCCTCAATTATCATATTATGTAAAATTATACATGTAGTTATTATGTCATGTAACACATGTTTTTCCAAAAACGTACTGGTCCTTTCAAATCAAAAGTATTAAAGTAATTTAGGAGAATATTAAGTAATTTTTTTGGTATTAAAAGTATTATTATGGAATAAATGAAAAAATAAAATCTTTTTTTCC